ATATATAGAGAATATATATAAAAGGACACTTTTATACTCTTAAAACTATTGGTATGTCTTTAAATTTTAAAAATTCAGTCATGTTATAGTTAAACTTTCTCAATTTTACTCTCATTTTAGACCATGTAAACCTAGGGAAATTTTTCAATTAACAAAATACACACTGAAAGGCTATAGTAAAAATTATTTGTGAAAATGCATATAAATAAACTAACAAATTTCTGTTTCAGCCTTGTTTGATCACCTTTGGTATATGGACTTCTCTATTTCTCACTTCTTTGGTTGCTCTTTTTTCTGATCTTAGCAAAAACAAAAAAATCTGAACAAAAGCTATTTAATTTTCCCCTACAGAGTCATATTAGTCCTATTAACTGAAGAAGGAATCTCCCCATTAGTGGATTTCAGGATAATTTTCTGTGTTCAAATGTAAGAGGAAACCATCTTAGAATTTGGAGGCTGTTTGTTCTGTTTTAATCCATATTTAGACCATTATTACAGAATGCTTTTATTTATCCTGTGTGTGTGTGTGTAGCCTTTTTGTAAAATACAGCTGGTACTTTGCAAAGTTAGTAAATGTTTGTCATATGTATGTTTATTATTTCTTTAGGGTGGCTTATCTGCAATCAAAAAATTTCAGTAAGGCAGACATTGTACAGATGGTCAGGAATGCACCATTTTTGCTGAGTTTTTCAGTGGAAAGACTGGATAACAGATTGGGATTTTTTCAGAAGGAACTTGAACTTAGTGTGAAGAAGGTAAAGAATGGAGATAATTTGTACATTTCCATGTCAGGTACATTTAGTAACTATTGAATCTCATGTTTCTAACAAAGAGCTAACCTTTACATATCCTGTTCATTCCTGCTATTGTACAAAATGAGTTTCCCCTCTAGGCTAAATATACAGCTGCATCATTTAATAATGTTCCGTCAAGTTGGCTCCTAAGGTTTTGTTTCAGTAATTTACTTTTTCTCAAATAGCCTTGAATTTATGTACTTCTGAGGTTCTTACCATTTCTCTGAGTCATATTTTAAGTTTTAGTTTTATATTCCTACTAATACTTTAGTTTTCCAAGCAAGTTAAATGTGCACATATAGTAATAATTGTTTTGTTCATAACCATAGACGAAAGATCTGGTTGTTCGTCTTCCAAGGCTGCTAACTGGAAGTCTAGAGCCTGTAAAAGAAAACATGAAGGTAGGACAGCTTTCAGCTTTTGAGCATTCAGTTTCTTTAAGTGTTGTCACAAAGAGAATATATTTGCCATTGTTGTCTTAAAACTAAAATTTAAAAGAAGTTATTTCTGAAATTAATAGAAACATATATAACAAGCACGTAGCAAGCAGTTTATCTTAGAAAATGGTCTGTTCCACAGGTGTTACATGAGTAAATTCCTTGTAGACACTTGTGCCCACGATCTTACAGTAATGTAGAGGTGTAGGGTAGATTCGGAAACTGCTCTTGTTGCCTGGCGCAAGAGGGTGGCTGTGTCTGAGTCTCCCTTAGCAGTCTGTGACACTGCCTTGTGTGCCTGTGGTGAGGGTCTTGCCTGTGTCTTGGGAGTTTGGAGGCTGGATTCAAGACTTTGCAGAGAGATTAGCAAACAGCACATCTCATCTCTCCTTGGAACCTTTGCCAGTTGACAGCTCTAGTTCTGTCACGAACATGCCCAACATTCCTTACTGTCCTTCGTCTTTTCCTTTGGTAGGAACCCAAAGCAACTGACTAGTTGGTATACAAAGTTGGAGTAGTGCATGAAGTTTTGTAAGGCCTATTTCCTGATGTGTTTTATATTCAGTCACTTCCTGGGAACATAGCTCCTGCCCTCATGAAGCCTAGAATCTGGGAGCTAAAGTACAGAGCCATCAGAACAATGGCTTGGTGGGGGAACACTGGGAACTATGAAAGTGCATGAAGGACCTACTCCCTATTGTGTTTAGTTTTATCAACTTTCTTGAATGTGTAATTTTCAGTCATGTTTATGTGGGTGTGCTTGTAAGCAGAAGCTCAAGAAATACTTGGAAAATCTTACTGCTGTGGTGTTTACGTCCAAGCTGTACAGATGCCTTCCCAGCCTGCCTTTATGTACTCTTATTTCATCTCATACTTGTGACGCTCCTGGTGATGTTTATGGTGATACCATGCTGTGAGACCCTTATTCTCAGGAGAGGGTTTTCAAATTGAGGTGACCCAACAAGCAGAAAGCCATAATTCCTGAGGGCATTGACATAGCTGTTCCTAGGTTTTAAAATGTCACTTTAAAAGAATCAATGTGTCCTCAGGCATAGTACCAAAACACTGTTTCTACTCATGACACATAGAAAATTTGCTTTCTTTTAGGTTTATCGTCTTGAACTTGGCTTTAAACATAATGAAATTCAGCATATGATCACCAGAATTCCAAAACTGCTAACTGCAAACAAAAGGAAACTCACGTCGAATTTTGATTATGTGCACAACGTGATGAACATTCCTCACCACCTCATTGTCAAGTTCCCACAGGTAACACAGCCACCAGCTCTGTGTGATGGCTGCCCTTGCCCTGCATTCAGGGCTGTGCACGCTGGGGGCATTGTGGAGTACTTGGGCGCACCACCTGAGGAGAACACTGATTGCTCAGTTCTACAAACTCCTAGTTCTGCTTGTAGGAATCAGGCAGAAGAATGTAGTCTCTCTTGTGTTTGCTCCCTTTAAATTAAAAGATCATTTTTTAATGCCAGGTGTACTTTGATTCACAGTCTCCATGCATTAACAACCTTATTGTAACAATCTCTTACAAAAACAAACATTTCCAGCTTGCCATAATGTCAAAGGTGTAGTTACATTTTCTGAGCTAATCAGACTTTCCTGTTCTTTGCCTCCTAAGTGGAATTACTTGCTGTTCACAGAAAAATTGTTTGAAGGCAGAAATGTTATCTGATACAAGGCCAAATCCCCAGTGCCTGAAACTGTGATAGCTGGCACTTGGTGGACATTCAGTACATAACAAATGTGTAATTGAATTTCATCGAAATGAGCCTTCTTTCCTGTTTGTCCTGTGAATAGGCACTCAGTTAAGTATATACTGGATGAATGACAGATTAAACTCCATTGACGTGATCCCTCTATTCAGTTCATTAGGCATGTTCCCATTTGTGATATAAAGATGGATAAAACAAATACAAACTTAACACAACTAGAGTAAGACAGCATTTGATCCAGTCCTTCATACATAGCAATATTTATTTGCCCATCATATTGTGAGAGACCCTTGGGAGCCTACAATTGTGTATTTGTCTGTAGAGCAGTTGTATGTAATCTTCATCTAAAAAGCAATGACAGTTTGTTTTTCCCTGGCTAGTGAGTAACTCAGTGACAGTAGATCAAGATCTTATCTTGTTCTTTTCAAACCTTAATGTCCTTATTCTTTCAATGATCAATAATCTATCTGGGCCATATCCAATGTAGATACTAAGGAAACAAAAATGAGACAAGGCCTGTGTCATGTAAACCTTGTTATCCAGAGTCATAGACAAGAGTTTCAAAAATATGATTGCTTTATGTGATGATAGAATCTTAACCAGAAGACTTACAGACAATTAATTCAATGTAGAAGTAAAAATAGGAATGAGAAAAAAAAAACATCTGTTGAGTGCTAACAGTGTATCAGCTCTATCTTTACCACTCTGCTTGTATTAACTCATAATTTGTAAACCACTATATGAGGTACTGTTAACTATCCCCATTTTACAAAAGAAGAAAGTGAGCATAGAGGGATTAAGTAACCTGTCCGAGGTTACCAAACTGCAAGAGGCAGAGCCAGGATTAGAACACTGGTATCTGAGTTAAAAAACCCAGGCCTTCTAGGTGTGGTGGTGCACACCTGTAATCCCAGCACTCAGGAGGCTGAGGCAGGAGGATCACTATTTTTGAAGCCTATCTGGGCTCCATAGTGAGTTCAAGGCCAGCCTGAACTACATAGGGAGATCCTGTCTCAAAAAACAACTAAAAAATAATAATGATAATCATAATAAAAATCCACACTCTACTGGGATATGCTGACATTCTAGAAGTGATATGCATCAGAAATGAATGGTACTTGCAAAGTGGGGAGAAACCTTCTTAGTAGATGGAACTATAAGCTGACGGATGCATCCCAATCACTTGTTTAAAGCCCATTCACAGAACTGTGGTTTCTAAATTGGGATTCATAGACTCCTACGGATGTGGGCCATATTGTTGACAAACCAAGCAGAAAAATAAACTTATTTATAGGAAAATACAATTAACAGTAAGGCTGTGAGAGAAGTGATACTGACTTTTAAATTTTTGGCAAGTGCTATAAAACTTGGTGATATGAAATTAATATTCTCGGGCCAGGGATTTAGCTCAGTGGTTCTGCTGCCTGGTTCGATAGTGCAAGGTCCCGAGTTCGACCCCTGGTACCAAAAAAGAAATTAATATTCTCATGGAGTAACAGTTCTGGTTGGCAGTATAACTAATTAAAATTAAGGAAAGAACTGTAATTTAGCTTTGATTCAGTTATTTTTCAAAAAGGAATGGTAAGTGAAGGAAAATACAAGGAGTTTCAGGGTACTATACATGAGGGAGTCACTGAAAGGGAATTGTGACGCTCAACAGCTAGGCCACACACACGAGAGGTCCGACAGGAGACTTCATTCAGGAAGCAGGAGCAGAGAGGGAGAAGGGGCAGAAGAAGGAACAAAGAAGGGAAGGTCCTTTTATCACTTTTGGGCTAAGCTATTGATTATTAATGAGGGGTGAGCTGCTTCTAACCTATCACAGGCCAGGTTGCTTTTATGGGTCCAGCCCTGCAGACACAGGTTTCAACTTCTCTGGACCACTGTGGCCTTGCGGGGAGGGAAACCAGAGATACGGGCATGAGGTCATTTTAGGAGCCAAGAATTACCAGGAGAATGCAGCCTGTGAGGCGGTGTCACAGCATACTTTAACATGACCAGTTCCCTAACTGTCACTGGCCTAAGGAAGGAGATTATATTCAGGAGCTCCTATACGCTTCTCTCTCCCCTCCCTCTGGTTTTCTGTGAAGGCAAAGTGGAGGTCCAACCTTAGGATAAGAGAGGATAGGTAGCTTGTACATTAGGGCTTTTGTTTTCTGTCCCTGAGACTAATGTATCATTAATAAGATGAAATTTTTTGTGACATTGGCAAAGTAGTCAATGGGCAGGCATTACCACCACCCAGTTTTATTTTTAAAGAGAAAAGGGCTGAGGACGTAGCTTAGTGGCCTCAACAAGGTCTTGAGTTTGATCCCCCGTACTGGGGAAAGAGAGAGGGAAGGAGGGAGGGAGACTCAGTCTGAGATATATCTTTGAACTGGGAAGAGCACACAATTCCCTAATGATAAAGTAACTTGAATCTTTGGAAAAGTACGCTAATATGTACTCACAAGCCAGGAAATGCTTCACTGTTGTTATACTTAGGAAAAAAAATTTTTTTTTTAAACCAGGGATTGAACTGCGGACCTCGCGCTTGCCATGCAGGCAGTGGAACCACTGAGCTAAATCCCGGGATTATAATTAGGAAATCAATCATAGTTTGGGAGCCTCAGTCATTTGTGGGGTTGTATGATAATTTTGTAAGCCAAGCGTCACTGCCTAGCATCCATACTTAAAAAAGTAAAACTGAAGCATTTTGCATCTTACAATAACAATGTGGTAGTGGGAATTTTGTTAACTAAAATGGCAGACTAGAGTGTCATTTGTTTTGCAGAGAAAGAAAAAGGTACTTTGTATCCAAAAGCACACCAACCTCATGCTGAGTTAACACCATGTACTTTTTTGGGGTCACTAGTCTCAAAGCAAACAAGTTTACAGCAATTTTTCAGAGTGTCCTTTCCAAGAGAGCTCTTGTTATTGTTTCCACTTGAAAACTGGGAAAGGGGTAGCAGGTGGGAGTCATGTGTCCTGCTGAGTGTTCCTGCTGTGTCTGGGGGGCGGGCAGGAGAGCTGAGGTCTCTGAGCTTCACCAGATTCTGGCAGGCTTCCCAAGCCTCCCTCCTGTTTTGTAGCAGGCTGTGAGGACAGGGCCTGCCTCTGATTCCTGCCCTTTCTTTCCCAGCTTGGTAACCCTAAGTGGATAAGATACACTTTCCCTAGCTGCTCCCAGACACATCAGATTCACTTCATTTTGATTCTAGTTGGGAAACAGCAGAAATTTAAAAGTTTGCAGATTATGAAATCTCAATTTTTTTTCTGACATAAATTTTGATTTCTAACATTGGTTCGTAACATTTAGTGGATGACAATCATCTAGAGCACTTGTAAAACCAATTTCTGAGCCCCACTCCCCAAGTTCCTGATGAAGTAGTGTGGAGTAAGACCTGAGGATTTGCTTTTCTAACACATTAACTCCTGCCCTGGGAGTAGTTTGTGTTCTCTGCCCACAGTGTAGCACTGAACTATTTTATTATTGTTTGTTGGTTGCTTTTGAATCCCTTTTTAATCATAATTGCTCATATAATGATTTTAACATGCCATTCATGTACTCGAGTGCTGATTTACACTACTAGCCCCTTTAATCGTAATATTTTTTCATTTTTTCTTTTAATCATAATTTCTTAACAAACAGTATTTAAATCTTCTGGCATTACATTTATTGAGGATATGGTCAGTACTTCATTAACTTACTAAAATAGCCTAGTAAATGTTAAAATATTTCATCTTTTATTGTAGTTTTGAACTTTTTTTTCTTTTTCAGGTATTTAATACAAGATTGTTTAAAGTCAAAGAAAGACACCTATTTCTTGCCTATTTAGGAAGAGCACAGTATGATCCAGCAAAACCTAACTACATCTCATTAGACAAATTAGTATCTATTCCTGATGAAGTATTTTGCGAAGAGATTGCCAAAGCTTCAGTACAGGACTTTGAAAAATTCTTAAAAACTCTTTAGCATTTGATGAATATTAAAAGTAATACTGTAAAATGAATGTATATATGTATAAATGAATATATTTATAAATAAACACCTCAGGTCTCAGGTGATACAAGAAAAAATGCCTTCTTGTTGTATATTGGGGTACATACTCTGGTAGATATTTCTTAGAGGTTCCTAGTGACTTAATTTTTGTTTGAGTCAACCATATCCTTCTAAGGAAGGAGAAAACTAATTACAGCAAGCATAGAGAAAGGGAAGGAGTTTCCTCTGTGCTGGCACTTTGTCATTCTGGTGAAGCTGGGAGCAGTAGTGATTTTTCTGCTCTTGCACCCACAGGTCTTCTAAAGTGGTTTTAATCCCAAGATGGCTCTATTTCCTTTGAAATGTCTAATAGCCAATACTCCAAAAGTGCTAAAAATAGATTCCATTTAGGATTATGTACAGTGTTTTCTTCCTAAGCACAGACATTCAAGGTTGCCCTCAGCTGGCTACTAAAAATCAGGAAATGGAAAGAAATAGGAAAGTTTGAAGATCAGAGGAATGCAGTGAGACATAGCAGCAGCCGTAATAAGCCTTTGACTTACTGCCAACACAAAGACTTATAATAGGAGTTGATAATTCCTCCTGAGTGCTTGCTTCTTTCTTTACAAAATGAGGCTTTATCGCACCTGCTTTAGGGTAGACCTGTTGGGTAGACTTAACATTGGTTGTGCCCGATGAGTCACGTGTGGTATTCACACACCTGAAAAGTCTCTTCCTATACTGACTTGGCCCAAATGGTTTGGTTGATGGGAAGTAATCAGGCAGAGGCTTGATGAGCATTTGCACACTGGGTCTTGTCCTCTTGGAATCTCTGCTCTTGGAGCCTGGAGCCACTACATAAAGAAGTCTGGTTATTGGAGAATTGACGTGGAGAGGAAAGTTCCTGGCTAAAGCCCTGCTGGTCCAGCCATGCCAACTGAACAGGTGTGAGTGAGGAAGGCACTGTATGTGAGTTTTCCAGCCTTACTACCCAAAACTACCCGGCTGGATTCAGATATTTCACTTATTCAGTCAACAGACATTTGAAAGCTGAAATACAGTGGTGACTGTGACATGGGTGTGTACTTTCATGAAATTCTTTAGTGGATAAGAGCAATAAACAGGAAACTAGAAGGTACAGCTTGGAGTCAGGTGAAACTAGCCTGCCTAGTCTTCCTCTGCCTCAGAACTTTACTCTGTCTTTACAGACAGCTCCCATGAGGATAAGCTGTGTAGCTATAATGAACAGTCATACAACAGCAGGTGCTTTAAACCCATAAAGATTTGTTACTTATATTTCCCTCACGACCACAAAGGTGTTTCCTCTTGGGTGATAACATGTTGATCTGTGCTGGATTTCTCTGCTGTGACTACAGTGTTGCCAGTCTATAGAAAGGGAAAGGTAGGGGCCGGGGATTTAGCTCAGTGGTTCGGTGGTCTGCCTTGCTAAGCGCAAGGTTCCGAGTTCAATCCCCGGTCCCCCAAAAAAGAAAGGGAAAGGTATGTGGAAAATTGCTCATAAGGATTTTTCTTTTCCCCAACACATCACATGGTTACACCTAATGTTTAAAGGAGTAAAGCTATAGGTTATACGTACGCCAGGTGAGATGGTTAAAAAACAAAAAACAACTATCAGCACACATCTGGGCTCCAGGCTTAATACCTGAAGGAGCTAAATTTTGTGACAGTCGTGGGTATCTGATCCCTTGACGTAGTTTTCCTTCTCTTCTCACTTGGACCTTAACCATACTAAAGGGTAAGAAGAATGAGTATACTGAATACCTCTGCTTGCCAGGCAAAGAGGCAATGTACCAATGTACAAATGTGTTGCATTTCTTTGTTTACGTTGGTAGTATAGGCTGAAAGCAGCCATCAGTGTTTAGGGCTGTGTGCAGGACTGAGTCATGAGAAATTGTGGTGGCAGAGAAGAGTAAAAAGGGAGAAGGCAATAGAATTTCATTTTATTTATTTATTTATTTTGGTACCGGGGATCAAACTTGCGTCCTTGTGCTTGCCAGGCAGGCAATGGAACCACTGAGCTAAATCCCCAGCCCTAGAATTTTAGAACTGGTATGTGACTTAGAGCATTAACATTTTGAATTTACCAGGAGAAGAGTTCTATACTGTCCGACCTCTCAACTGGAAAATAAAACCACCAAAAAAGATCTTGCTGGGTAGTAGTAGAAGCAACGAGTAACAGTCGTGCTAATTTCCTGGATGTTTTCTGTCCATAGATTTGTATGCATCAGCGTTCACCTTGAAAGTGGACAGATTATGCACTTTGTCCTCCTAAAGGTATATGTAAATTCTGTAATACATCTTAGATTTAGTATTTTAAAAACTTTTCTGACCTAACTTTCCATCAAAATGGCTTGATGTAATCATCAGCTGGAGAAACTAAGGAACAGAGATTTAGTATCTTTCCTGGATTAGCAGTGTAGGTTGGAAACTAGAATTAAAGGGGCTTGAATTTACTTCTGAATTCTCAGATTCTGAAATCTGTATTCTTCCCAGCCTTGTGCCCTTAGATAAGTTTACTCAACTTCTTTTTTTAGTACCGAAGTTTGAGCCATGGCCTTTCCATTGAGCTACATCCCCACCCCTTTCAAAATATTTTGAGAGAAGGTCTCCCTAAATTAATTGCCCAGAATAGGCTGGGCTGAAATTTGCAATCCTTCTACCTATCTCCTACAGTGCTGGATTACAAGCATGCGCCATTACATGTGAATAGTTGTTTAACCTTTCGAAGACAGCTTTCTCCTCTGTAATAGAGATAATTGTAGAACTTACATCATAGGATTAGAATTAAATGAACACACATTTGGTACTCCATATCTGAGAATTCTATCTCTGCGGATTCAACATACCACGGATGGAAAATATTTGGGGCATGTGCCTCTATACTGAACAGGTATACACTCTAGTTATTATGTCCTAAATAATACTGTATAACTACTTATATAGCATTCACACTGTATTAGGGGTAATCTAGAGATGATTTAAAGAATACAGGAGGACACGGTATGTAAGTAATATGCAAACACTACAACATTTTACACAAGGAACTTGAGCATCTAAGTAATTTCCCAGGTCCTAGAACCAACACTTTTCATTCTCCGCCTCCTGAAAAACATTTAACACGGTGCCTGGCTCCGAGGGCTCAATTAATATAGTACAAACTCCACTAACCTGGGCTAAAGCCGGGGCTTCCTAATTCCATTCCTGGTGTTTTCCCCCTCACCCACAAGGAAAGCTCCTTGAGCTGAACAAGGGCGCAAAAACTTTCAGCATATTCCATGGACCTCCGCCTGGGAGAGCAACACAGCAGGTGCCTAAATCAGCCGTCAGAGCTGCGCCTGCGTCGGCGTCCTCGCTTGCTACGCGACGCGACGTAAGGGGCCGCCCACAGGTCCCGGGGCGACCTCTAGGACTTACCCAGAAGCCCTCACTGCACGTTCGGGTCAAAATGGCGGGCAGGCCTGCTGGTAAGTGACTGGGGTCCCGCCTAGGTGGGCATCTTGACGCTCAGCCTTTTATTTTTGCCAGTAACTTGGACCTCTTCTGCTCTCTCGTTCCTAGCGTAAGGGAAAGTGACGGCTCCAGTACAGCTAAAAGGACGTGTTCTGTCGTTCCCAGGCCGGGCTTGCTGGACGGGGTGGGAGGAGGACGTCAGTGATGGTCCTCGCGGTGGCCCTCGAGTCCTTCCCCTTGGCTTTGCAAAGTTCAAGGTCATAGGATCTAATCAGCGGATGATTGACGTTCACTCAAAGCGAGTTGAATGCTTACAGTGAACTCTGCCCTGTCTTTTGCATGGGCTTCCTAAATTCTACCAGTGCGACTTCCTGTTTGTCCTTAATAAGACAGGCAAAGTGGTAGGAATAAAAGGATCGGAGACCCTCGTCCCTTGCTTCGCAATTAATAGAAATATAGGCAGCCGACACAGGTTGATAGTGATACTTCAAGTCAACCTTGGTTTTTCTGGAACTAAGCTTGATCTGTCAGTGGAGAAACTTGACCTTATCATAGGTAGGCACGAGAATTTAGACGCCTTTATTATGAACTGGAATGCAGAAACTGTCGGAATATTTAAAAACAACGTGCTTCTCAACTACTGTAGCGCCCCCCCCCCCGCCGCCTCCCGCCAGCTACTCTCTGCTCTCTGGCAGTTTAAATTGCAATAGCTTTAAAAACAATACTGTGCTCTTCTCCCCAGTCCCCTGCAATTGTGAAACCAGTAGAAAACATCAGATTGTCATGTAAATCTGTTAATGTAAATGACATTGAGGTTTTTTGTGGGTGGAGAAAACGTTTAGGAGAAAACATTTAAGACTTATTTCATTAGCTTGATAAATATTTAAGGAGTTTTATTAAATTCAAGGCATTATATTTCTGTGCTGTTTGGGAAGCACATAGACCTACTTTTACTAACAATCTCTGACTTGGCTAGTACCATTTCTGCAAGGCCTGCTCCTTTTCTGCAACAACTGGCATATCACAAATAAAACAAGCAGGAGAGTACCTGGCACATAAGTGTTCGGTGAATATTAACCATTATCAAAATCACTGGTAATTATGTTCGCAATCAACTTCTACAAGTGTGTTTTATTTTTATTTATTTGTTTGTTCTTTTGGTTTTTTTGAAACAGGGTCTCACCACATAGTTCAAGCTGGTCCTGGATTCATTATGCAGCCCAGGCTGGCTTTGGACCTCATGGTGAACAAATATGTTTTTAAATTGTTGACTTTTGATGCTTTTTTTGAAGAATTTTGTACATGGCTCTTAATTTCCAAGGAGATTTGCCAAAACCGTGTAATCTGGTATGTTAAGGAGTAGGGGGGCAGGAGTTAAAGTAAAAGGACAGCTTGTTTCTCTTCCTTGATAAGGGGTTAGATCTAGCCAGAAATTTAAAAGAAAATTTAAACTTGCTCTGCCTTCCCATCTGTACCACATCTCCCCTCTAACATCAGGCACTGTCACGTTGTTCATAGACCCTAGTGCATTCGTGACAAACCTGTGGCACATGTGACACAGAGCCCCCTCTCTATCAGCATGCAAGCCAAGTCACCCCAGCAGTCGAGCATCAGATGGATATTTGGGTTTAATTGCAGTCTTGGCACTTTGCAATAAATAAGGGTGTGGTTTGCCATCACTGCCCTAGTGGGCTCAGCCTTTTTCCCCATGGTGTTTTAATAGTACTTATTTCTCCTCCGTGTTCAAATATTCATTTCCTTGATGGAAAATTATTTAGTTGGGAGGAGGAAAATGACCCTCTTTAACCAATCCATATTAATGTTTAAATGACTAATGGTCTAAAAATCTTTCCAGAAATGCATATATTGTAAAAGGTCTTGGCCAAGAGACCTAATGGTAATGTAGACTAAAAGGTTTAGATGATGAGTCTGCAAACCTGCCAGAGCATCCTAAAATCTCATTCCTGTTTTCATACAATTCTACCACCTTTGAACAGAAAAAATTTAGTTAACCCCGAAAAGCTAAATATTCTATTTTTGAAGCTACAAATGATAAGTGTTCCGAGTCCCTTTCCTGTCTCCCACCCCCTCCATTCTGATGTACATAAAGGGACACATGCACTTGGAATATCAGACACTGAGAAGCTGAAGTGGCAGTGATTGTACCTATGAATCTTTTGTATATTAGGTGATGGAGTCACCTTTTCCTCTTATGACTTGCTACTAATTTTTTACCTGCAGTCCCTTTTGCTCATAGCTAAAATAGCAACTGCTTATCTACGGATATAGTATATAAGCTTTTTATTTCATTAAGTTTATTGGTACCTTTTAGGTGTACAGTAGAGTCACATTTATCATTGGGATCTTGTACCTTCACGTGATAGGTCTTGGTTCTCCTTTTTTCCCCATACTCCTGCCCTCCTTTCACCCCCCTACCCTTTCCTAAAAGACTTTGTTTCCATTTCTAATATTTTTTCTTTTCCCTTCTTTCCTTTCCCCTACCCATCCCACTTCCCCTACTCCTTTAACCCATTTCTTCCTATTTCACATTATCCGTTATACAATTTGAACCTTATTTACACTTAGTTTTTCACACCAGAGAAACTATTTGGTATTTATACATGTGTGTCCTGTTTATTTCACTTGAGAGTATGGCCTCACTATGCATCCATTTACCTATAAATGACTCTAGTTTTTCATTCTTTATGGCTGAGTGGTACTCCACCCACGTCTTCTTTATCCAATCTCCAGTTAATGGGCAGTTGGGCTGTTTCCAAGTTTTAGCTATTACAAACTGCCTCTATAAATATGGGTGCACATATATCACTGTGGTATGTTCCTTTTAATTCTTTTGGGAAGATACTCAGCAGAGGGAGAGTTGGGCCAAATGGGACCTCTAATTCTAGTTTTTTGAGGTATCTCTACATTGATTTCCACAGTGGTTGCACCAGTCTGCACTCCCACAAACAGTGGAGAAGGGTTCCTTTCTTCCCACATCCCCACCAGCATTTGTTATTGATTGACTTCTTGATAGCAGCCATTCTTCCTAGGGTGAGATGGAATCTCAGTGTTGTTTTCATCTGCATCTCTCAAGTGACCAGTGATATTGAACATTTTTTCATATATTTATTTACTGCTTTTATTTGAGAAGTATCTGTTCATTTCAGATGTCCATATTTGGAAGGAAATTCCTTCTGTTTTTAAAAAGATAACTAAGTACTGGTTGTGTTGTTCATATAAATAAGTGAACTGTAACAACTAACATAGTGTGTGTGATCCCTGGTACTACCCCCCCCCAAAAAAAACAACTAACTGTGATAATTATCAGTTGCAGCATCAGGCCGGTGGCTGGAAGGTATACGGAAATGGTATTACAATGCTGCAGGATTCAATAAGCTGGGTAAATATCTGTACTTTCTTTTGCCTTTTGTGGGGAGGGGTTGTTGTTTTGTTTTGTTTTTGCTTGTTTTGAGAAGAGAGGAATAAACTCCTTTAAAATGTTTGAGGGGAATGATTTGTGGTAGCTAATTTCCTTATTATATTTTCCCTTTCTTACCACTTTAAAATTAAAAATTTAAGGGCCCTGGGGCCGGGGATTTAGCTCAGCGGTTCGGTGGCCTGCCTTGCAAGCACAAGGACCTGAGTTCAATCCCCGGTACCAAAAAAAAAAAAAAAAAAAAATTTAAGGGCCGGGGTGTAGCTCAGTGGTTCTGCCACCTGCCTCACAAGCAAGCTCGAGGTCCTGAGTTTGATCCTCAGTACCAAAAAAAATAAGTAAAAATTACAATTAAAAATTTAAGTTATACTAACATTGAATGTGGAGATGTTTTTTTCAAATACTGAAATTGTCTCATCTTTACATTAATATGATTTGTGAGCTTTTTGTAGAACTTTATAATTTTCTCTGAGCTTCATCTTTTGTTCTTGAAGTTTAATAGAAGCATCATTAAATGTTACTGGTTCCTTAGTACACTGTGATTTTAAGATTCTTTAGTATCTTGAATTCAGATTTAAAGTACAAGAAAGAGATATGATTTATTGATGTATACTTAAGGACAAGGTAAACATTTTAAATATTTTCAAAATTAGTTTAGATGAAATGTGTCTTCTGTGGTGGTGCTTTCTAAAAGACCTATCCATTTAAAGTAATAACTCATTATGTGTATGAAATACTTTGAATTTCCTTCATACCTGGTGATTTGAACTTTGGGTATTTCCCTCACTTTGAAGTTATAACTCAGATATTTTATTCTTTGTTTTTTAATCCCTGATTATTGAGTTGCATGTTCAATGTAATTTTTTATTTTCTGTTAACAGGCTTAATGCGTGATGATACAATATATGAAAATGAAGATGTAAAAGAAGCCATAAGAAGGCTTCCTGAGAACCTTTATAATGATAGAATGTTTCGCATTAAGAGAGCATTGGACTTGAGCCTAAAGCATCAGATCTTGCCGAAAGAACAGTGGACAAAATATGAGGAGGTAGAACAGCTTTTAAGTCCTGGAGTTTTAGAAACATGAAGCATTCATTTGTACAGTCATTTAGAATTCTCAGAGTTGTGTCAAGTAAATATTTTTTCAACAGCCAGTGAGGTTAAAAGAGTTGTTAGCTCTGCCTTAGAGAAAAACATGTTGAAACTTAGAGGTAGAGTAACTCTTCCAGAATCACAAAGCAAATCTCTACTAGACCAAGACTAGAATCCAGATCTTCTACCTTGTAGGCTATTGCTGTTCTCCCTGTACATTCTGCTTCCTATTCAGATGAAAAGAGTTTAGTGTTCATGTGAAGCCCGCCCGCTGAATGGCCCTCAGTCCTTCAAACTGCGCCAAAACTGGGCAGAGATCTGTGGGG